ATACTCTGGTCCCCAAACGCTGCTGTCTCTATCTAGCTAAACATGTTCAGGTTATACCGAAGGCGGGTGGTTTGGGATTCCTTCTGAACTCATATGTTAAGTGAGTAAAATGACCATGTATCAATTGCAAAGAAAATTAGAAAACGCATAGATTAAAGAAATGCAGGGGTGCGTCGTGGCTGTCCCACCTACCTAGTTTTGTGTGACTGCTCTGCCCTCCCCTTCCTCCACTGGCTCCATTTTCTTCTGGGAAATGTGGCTTTCCTGTGGGACCCACAGACAGCATCATAGGCTTCGCACACAGCTCACCACTCTTCTCTTCACCTTCTTCCAGTGGGGAGAGACTGTGCTCATGTCCTGTGGCTGAGTACTGGTGAGCCTTTCTTCGGATGTTTCCCAGAGGGATAAGCTCTTACCCTTTCTATTTGTGCCTATGGTGGTCACACCCTGTGGGGCTTCCCAAGAGTTCTCTTTAGATCATGTATTCCAGGTGCATGAATTAGTGCCTATGGTGGTCACACCCTGAGAGGCTTCTCTAGAGTTCTCTTTAGATGGTGTATTCCGGGTGCATGAGTTTGTGCCTATGGCGGTCACACCCTGAGGGGCTTCTCTACAGTTCTCTTTCTGAAGACACACCTTTGGAGGTCATGGCACTTCCTTCCACCCTGCTCTCTATCACCTGAGCAGCCACAGCACCACACTGGGGTCCCGGGCTGGGAGGGTCCATGCCCTTCTGCTGGCAGCACAGGGTGGCAGGCATGCTGTGGCTTCTGCCGCCCTTCCTTGAACCTTCACTGTCGTCATGCAGCTGACGTTTAGCTAGTAAGGGGAAGGTGGGAAGGGAGGACTCTGTCATTCTCCTATGGTGAGTGAAGGTGACAGGACCTGCAGGGATCGTGGTAGCACCAGGCTGCATGGGCTTATTTCGATGGTTGGTGTTGTAGCCTTGAGGTGACTTATGTTTTAAAATTAGGTAAGTGGCCATGATATTATTAAATGTTTTTTCACGTAAAGAGTCTCTGATGTCCTCAGGGTTGTAGCCCATGTCCCGCATGGTCAACACAATGCTGGGATTTGGGGTGCTGGGGGACATCTCTAAGGAAGATGCTAATTTTGAAGGCTCTTCACTGTCCTGAAGCCACTGGTGTCCCATGATGTCATGTATTGTGGGCCTCTGCCTAAAGTCAACAGTGAACAATTGCACGATGAGGTTTTTAATGTGCAGGGAAAGCTTGCATGGAATGGAGACCTTTGGATTCAGCATGTTCTTCTTCATCTGTGAACAGGTATCTGCTTCGAAGGGGAACTCGGCTGTTAACATTACATACAAAACCACTCCCATGCTCCAGATGTCACTTGCACGTACATCGTATTCTTGGTCCATGAAAAGCTCTGGAGCGCAATACTCAAGGGTGCCATAGAGACCCTTAAACTTCTGGCCAGAGGTGACTTTTATGGCCAGGCCAAAGTCACACAGTTTGATGTGTCCTTTGCCATCCAGCAGCACGTTATCTAATTTAATATCCCTGTGTGCAATGCCGTTCTCATGGCAGTAGTTAACCGCACATGCCATCTGTGTGAAGATGGGGCGGGCTTCCTCCTCTCGTAGACCACCCACCTTCCCCACAAGGTCCGCCAGATCTCCCCCAGCAGCATGTTCCATCACCAAATAGGTGTGTTCTCTGGTTTCGATGACGTGGAAGAGTCTGATAATGTTTGGGTGATCCAGCGCCTTAGCGATATCTACTTCAGACGTGACCCAGAAGGCATTGTTCGCACCCTTTTCCAGGATCTTGACAGCAACTTGCACCCCTGTGTGGCGGTGGAGGGCCAGTTTGACCTCAGCAAAGCTGCCTTGGCCGAGGGTCTTGAGGATCATGTAATGATCCGTGAGGATCTCCTCTTCAGAGGAGCTGCTCTTCAGGTATGGCTCCATTGTTGCCTCCTCACTTCTGCTTGTGGCGTGCTTGAGAATTTGCATCATAACACAAACTCACAAGGCTAGATCTTAAAAATTAGAAGCAGGTCTAGGAGGAGAGCCTAGAACCAAAATTCCTACATCAAAAAAGTCGGAGATATGTCAATTAAGAAAGCACCCTCATGTTGGTGAGCAAGGTCATAAAGAATAATCAGAAACTAAACTCCAAAGCAGTAGAGGGTAAAACAATAAAAATCAGAGTTGAACACAATGAAAAGCAAGTAAAAAAAAAAATAATACATAGGATCAAGGAAACAAAACCCTTGGTTATTGGAAAGGATGAACAAAAGTGACAAAACCCTACTCAATCTAAGAAAATAAAAGAAGGCACAAATTAACAAATATTATTGAGGAGCTAGAGAGATGGCTCAGAGCACTGGCTGCTCTGGCAGAGGACCCAGGTTTGGTTCCAAGCAACCACACGGCAGCTTATAACCATTCATAACTCCAGTTCCAGGGTATCTGATACCCTCTTCTGGGCTCTGTGGGCCTTGTACACACATGATGCACTTAAAGACATGCAGGGAAAACACTCAAACACATAATTGTATTTTTCTTTTTTTTCTTTTTCTTTTTTTTTTTTTTTTTGTCTTTTTGAGACAGGGTCACCCTGGAACTCTCTATATAGACCAGGCTGGCCTCGATCTCACAGAGATCCACCTGCCTCTGCCTCCTGAGTGCCGGGATTAAAGGCATGTGCCACCACCCCTGGCTCAAACACATAATTCTTTTTAAATTTAAAAATTAAGACGAGGCGTTAAGAATAATAATAACGATAATAATAATCTGCTTAAAAAAGATTTCATGGTGAGGATGTGTTTATCTTTTATGCAAAGGTAGTCTGAAATATACAAATCAATAAATAATACAGCATATGAAGAGAACCCAGGCCCAAAATTACACACCCACAAAGAAAAGGGAATTTTATCATTTTCTGGAAAATAGAATGAACTGGAGCCTATTGTGGTACATGTAACAAGCCAGTCACACAAAGCACATATCACCTGTTTTCTCTCACACGCAGAATCTGGAGGTTTGGGGGAGCCTGAACATAAAGGGGGCCCCACTCGGGATGCGGAAGTGGGCAGGGTTCTGTTTGCCTGAGAAGGTCTGAGCTTGGCCTGGGTGCCTGAGCCACCACAGGGTCCAGAGTATGGTGCAAGGGCCCTGTGTGGTTCAAAATCCAGACTCTCACAGGCCTCAGGTTCTCCAGACCCTAGGGACAAGGGCCGCTGACAGGAAATCCAATTAAAGTAGCTTTGTAAAACAAACAGCAGGGTGAAGGAGCATGAGAACCACGGGCATGGCAGGTGGTGGACAACAGGTCTGTACCGGGTATTGGAAGAGTAATCCAGGAGGCTCCTCTTCCAAAATTGTGAAGCTTCGTACTGTTTCTGAGCGCACAGTCCGAATTGCTGGCGTCCTTGCAGCAAAAGCGAAAGCACAGCCTTCACCCTCACCAGTCAGGCACCAACTGTCACAGAACCCTCCTGGAGCTTTGTGCTTTAAATGCTCTCTGACCTGATTGGCTATACACCCAGAACTCAGCCAATCAGACTGGCCTGGTGGGACAGGCTCCCCTGATTGGGCAGAGTGGAGTCACGTGACCTGTGCCTCCTAGGTAGAGAAGTGGTGCTCACCAAGGATGGAGGGTGGGGCTTGGTGAATTCTTAAAGACAGGGTTAGGGACAGCTTTTGCATGCTCCATACCTTGTTTGCATGGATGTGCCTGCTCATGCCCACCTCTCCCGACCCTCTGCCTTGTGTCCACAGAAGACTTCACGGTAGCACTTCTTCCCTTCCCAGGCCCCATTTCACTTTGTTTCTCTGCTCTTGCCTGCGTGCTGGGGCTAGCTGCTTCAGTTCCTTTCTCGACTCTCCTGATAGAAGGGACTCTGACCTGGGATAGGAAGCCAAATAACCCCTTTCCTCCCCTAAGCTACAACACCCTGAGTCTCCAAATACATGAATACGTACATACATACATACATACATACACACATACATACATAGGTACATACATAAATATATAGTTAAAATCACCGAAGACAACCTGGCCTGATCAACCTGGTCTGGGGGTTGCGGCGTGGTACAGCTCTATGTGTCATGTTTGAGATGCCAGATTCGATTCCCCTATACCTTGGGGCGGGGCAGAGGGAGGACACATTGATAGGCACCCAGAAAGGAAGAGCTTTGTGAGGGGTTGGTTGGTGTGGGTGAGTGTATTGAGTACCTTGTATTTAATTTAAACATTGAACTATATTTGTATAACTTAAATACTAAACCACGACTGTTTCTAAGAACGAGCTTACAAAATTCCCAAAATTTTGAAAAAATCTGCTCTCACAACTCAGAATTAAGGAGCAAATAGCACTGCCATCCAAAAATGATAGATTGTATTTTAAGTTTCTATCTGAGCCTGAGGCTGGGGCTGGAGCTTGTGGTAGGTCATCTGCTTAGCATGTAGAAAAGGCTGCATTCAATCCCCTGCACCCAAACAAACAATAAACTACATAATTTATGAACATTATTGGTAGGAATGACTCACGATATAGACAGAATCTGGACTAAGGACTTTTAATTAACATTGCCCCAAAAATCTGTTTATCATGCAAACAAGTGAACTGAGCCACGTGCTCCTGAGGTCTGTGCACCTGATCTTGATCCCTGGGACCCCACTTTGCCCTCTATCCAAGATAGTGAATGAATGTGGGTGTGCTTGAAGTAGCATATCAAAGTGCAAGAAACTGTGTGTTCATATTCATGTTCTCATTGAAGACAGTGAGAATGACTGAGGATCTGCTTGACATTGGTGTAAGGGGATATTTTAGGCCTAGGGATCAAAAGGGCAAGATTCTCTGATAAGGATGGATCAAACATCTAGTTTCCCAATTGATGCTGGAGAAACTGTTTGATTAAAAGTATGGCTGAAGCCTGACTCAAGACCACAGTTCTATAAGAGCGCTGAAGGAACAAATCCCGAGAGATTGGGCCCATTTTTTTTTTCTTTCTTTTTCACCTTTGTAATTTTTTCCCTTTTATTAAAAGAAAAGTTATACAATCTATGCTCAGTAAAAACAAATTCAAATAGAAATAGGTTACAAAGAACAGCCACGTGCCTATGCCCCAGTCCCACACCCACAAGTTTTGAGTATCATTCTAGAAATGTCTATGTATAAATGTGTTTCTCATCATAAAAATGCTGCACATACTGTTCTACAATGTGCTTTTAAAAACAACTATTCCATGGGTAGATCTCTCTATCGGTACAGTCAGATTCACTTCAGTCCTTCTAAAAGAGTGGCTAATTGAGTTAACCAGCTGCCTGCGGATGGACACTTTGCTCTCCAGTATTTTACAGACATCTTTATACACAAGCATGCAAACTGACGTGAGTACTACGAGACATTTCCCCTGAGGCAGTTATTTATGTTCTGAAATAGTGTAAGCACTCGAAGAATAATCTCCTTTGCTATTTGCCCATCATAAAGGGAAATGAATGAAGAATCCACTTGGGTACTGAGTAGTCCTTCTGTCATGGCTGGGTTTACACACAAATTCAAATGCAGCTTCAAAACCTGAACCTTGGTGCTTCCATCTCCAGTCAGTAGCAGGTGGAAGAGGTCCTTGATGGAGCTGTCCAGCATGTGCCGGTGGTCATTGGTAACAGGCCTGTTTGTTAACAACCTCAGTCCAGTCAGCTGCACAGCAGAGTTCAGAGGATCAGAGAAGACATCGTCACAGGTTTGATGGATGTGTATCTTTATCTTGATTGGATTTTCAACATTCACACTCAGGTTATTTGGTGCATTTAAAGCTTTTTCTTTAATACTTTGATTTAGATAGCTGATTTTGTTTCCGACATTGGAATAACACCCAATTCACGAATAGCGGCTTGGTTAGCTGAAAAGGCTGCATTCTTACCCACAGTGACCAAGGCTTGGACAGTACTTAAAGGATCCTCGGTTGACTCAAACAGGTAAAAAAGTTTCTGAAGTTGCTCAGCTTTTAAGACATGATTATATGAACCATTTGTTAATTCCTCTGCCTACCACGACGGGGCGCAGCTGCCTACCTCGCGAGGGTGGGACGTCCACAAGGGGCGCCACCGCCTACTTGGGAGGGACCTCTAGGGGTGCAGCAGCCGACCAGGAGGGATCGCGAGGCATCACGAAGGGTGCAGGGGCAGATCGCGCGGACTGCGAAGGACCGCGAGGGACAGGGACCTCGAGAGGTGCAGCAGGGGAAGGCAAGGGACCCTGAGGGGCGCAGCCGCCGACTGTGCGGGACGTGATGGACCTGGATGGCACAGCCGCTGACTGTGAGGGACCGGGAGGGACCGTAAAAGACCGCGAGGGGCACAGACGACAAACGTGAGTCACCGCGATCGATCGCGAGATGCACAGGCGTGGACCGCGAGGGACCAAGAAGGACCGCGATGGGCGCAGCCGCCGACTGCGAGGAACCGCGAGGGACTGCCAGGGGTGCACCTGCTGACCGCGAGCGACCTCGAGATCCACATTATCTATAGGTGAGCCTCCAGAACCTTAAAAGGTAAAGTAGAAGCTGGACTTTGCGTTTTGCACAAGCAGACACCGAATTTCGAGGCCTAGAATTGGGGTCTATTGCACCACAGCAGTAAGGCAGCCTGGCCTTTCCTCACGTAAGCACCCACCAAGCTGCTAGACAAGTGCTGCTGCTGTTCTCTCTCCACTCCAAGGCCAAGGACACCTTGTTCTGCATTCTCTAGCCTCCAATATCTAGCCCACTTATCACTCAATAAACATCCTACCAAATAAATTCTCAAACAATGAGCAATAGTCCTTGCAGGACTTTTGCAAAAGCAGCACTCCAAGAGATCTGAAATAGCCATGGGCCTCTCACAGGTTCCTTTAAGGAGGCAAAATTATAAAGCAGCCAAGTTTTAACTTTATAAGAAAATATCTTCCTTAAATTAAAAAAAAATTCTAACAGACTTTGTATAAAAGACAGAAAAATAAATATACAGTTTAACATAAAGCAAACATATTTACGACCTAAGTAAAAGACTAGTACCAGGCTAGGACCCTGAAGCCTGTCTGCAGCCAGGCCCCCTGCTCAACCAAGCAGCTGTGATGCTGACCAGGTGTTGTCCACTCCCCCTCTGCAGGGAAGCAAGGCCATCACTGTATTAACATTTTATTAGAATTATATTTTGTTTTATTATCTCTGTTTAAATCCCGAAATTATATCAATTCATTTAATGTGTTTAAGTAGAGTTTCCATGATTCATTAAGATGAAGCTATAGCTTGGAACTTTTCAAGATTATTTCATGTCTGCTAAGCAAAGAAAGGAACTGCTAGATCACAAAGTCTTTTCTTATACCACCCACAAAGTTTTACCAACACTGGAAATTTTCTTATAATTAGAAAGAGTCATAGAATACAAA